TCAAGTTGTAATCCTGACCTTTCAGGAGCCACTCTCAGGAGCCAAAAGGTGTGGCAATTACAAACGGATCTGTCAGGTTTCTGGACACTAGGTTATTGTGAAACCTCCATTTAATGAAATCTTTAATCGCAGACACCCTATTAGAGGGTGATCACTAAGGTATCTTCACCCCAGCTTTGCCGTGGCCGTTCATGGACATGTCTCATATTCCATTGCTAAAATTCTAAATCTCATATCCTTGATCGCTCTGCCCCGGCTATCCAGCAACGGTTTTCGGGCATGCAAGGCCGGGGCCAGAAACGTCTGCGCGTCCCTTGTTCTTTGTAATTTCTATGTTTTTTCTTCGGTGCGGGGCCCTTTTTGGCTACCATAAGTGCGGGGCCTAGGGCCATGGCCCCCAGGGACCCCCTTAAAAACCACCACTACGGCTACCCATATTGTGTTTTTATCAGGAATTAGGTATCCCGCCCCATCAAAAGACAGAATCCGCTGCCCCTCTTTCTCATACTTATAACCATATATTTAGTCTGTTCGGTGTCTGCTATATTGCGATTCTACTTAACAAGCATACTATATTTTCATTGAACGAAATTTGAAATTTGAGAATCTTTGACCATTGTATCAAATCCACTAACTCTATTTAGCGCCACCGTGTGGTGTCATATTCATAATTGCATCACCTTTATTCTTCACTTGTCATCCTTTTTTCGGTTCCAAAATTCGAAGTTTTGTCAGAGCCAATCTCATGTTGATGATTCATTCTTTTATAAAGAATATTTGATTGCGATTTGATTTAAAGTGGCCATGGCCTCTCCACTTTTTTGCGAAGCAAATAATTTCAAAGCTATAAGAAAAGGTAAAAGAAGCCCTGCCCCCTCCACTTTCGCTAGCCTTGCCCCCCTGCCCCCCCCGACCTTCAAATTCGTTGCATGGGACATTGTCACATCGAAAGTACTGATTAAGGGAAGCAAATGTTGGGACAGCATTCTGTTGCTATGGTTGCTATGAGGTGTCCGTTGATAAGAATGGTCTGCTAATAACATGTTACACGAAAAGAATGACATTTAGAAAATTTGATTTTAAAATAACTGGGAAGGGCATCTCTGTTATAAGGTAATGCTTAAGAATCATGACAAACATCATAACAAGGTCTATCAAAAGTCACGCAGACAAAGACTAAAATTGAACTTCCTCCAGCAGAATGTCTGTTGCTGAAATGTTCCTTCGTATTTGTATTTTCAGTTTTTCTCAGCAATGATTTTAACAAGATTTTAGTACGATCTTGAAAATGAATAAGTTGTGATGTTAAAATACTGCGACAAAAGGAATTCTGGTGTTAAAGTATCCTCACCTATAATCTAAGAAATTTATGAATATGTGAACTTAGCTTGCCTCCCCCACCACTTCAACGATGAACCTTTCCTATAAGATGAATTCCAAGCATTTTTCTAAACACACAAGTAACATGGCAACATATAAGTTTTCCATATTTTAGCTAGCTAATAATTATTTTTAATATATTAATTATTACTAGTAATTATTATTAATCAGTAGCACATAATCATTGATAAAAGACCGAGTTGTGTTCAGTATTATCAAAAATATGACTCGAGGATCTTTTTACGGAACAGTTTTTGTTTACTTTGTACTGAGCAATTTTTTTCGGTCGGCGCAAATGAAAGTCAGATCAAGATATATGTATGCTTACTTAAAGTGCTATTTGGTCTCTTTGAAGCTGTGAAGGAGTCCTGTTTTGCTCTATTGCATGTATTCCGAAAAACTCCTTCTTTTCAACCCTTTTGCAACACTTTTTCAACTCTTTTGGTACAGATGTTAGTTTAGGCCCTGATAAGATTTGGGTTTGAAGCCGCGTTCTTTTTCAAATTTTGAAAAGCCTTAAAACTTTAAATTCCTCCTGTTAAATGTTGTGAAGAACATAAACCATTTCTTACAATTATTCGTGAAATATCTGAAAGCTTTTTGGCGGTACTTTGTTTTCCATTCAAAAATGCAACAGTGCTCCAATGATCAGTTTCAAGTAAAAGCATATTAATTTTTCAGACCATCCTGTTTCTATGTCCCAGACATTTTCGTGATTTTAAGACTTACAGGCAGCTTATACGATAAATAAAGTCATATGTCTGCCGGATATTGGTCGCATTAGCAACGGATGAAAACGACAAATCCATATAATAGAATGATAATGTGTTGGCTCTTTGCAAGATTGTAAGTGTGCAAAGTTATTCAAGTAGCAAAATAACGCAAGTTCTTCACCGAAAAAAATAATTTTTTCACTGGTTGTAGAATCTTTTTCTAATTTCCATTAAAAGTGTGCTTCAAAATTGTTGAATTTTCCAGGAACTCTTGTAAACGAATTGCGTCATTCATTATATTTGCTTTGCTCCAAAAGTTACTTTTAAGCATGCTTCAGACAATATTTGAAGTGATGTAATTCGTTTCAAATGTTAGAACTTTCTCAGCACTCTCTACCTCTTCATTGCAAGAAAGGCTCTTCTTATCCAAACAATGTTTTTAATTTATAATTTTTCCCTTCAAAGACCTTTGGAGTACTTTATAGCGCCTTGGGGACCTTAGGAGACCTTTGAATTTCCTAATAAAACTTGCTTGCAGTTGCAGTTGGGGGTTGTTTTGACAGATTAACAAGAATGGGAGCATTTTCTATTTTCTCTCACGCCCATGCTTTGCAACTTTGATGTTTTCGAATTCTCTGTTTTCTTGGTTTGATTGATAATTCAATAAATTCTTTTCCACTTCCTGGAAGTGACACAGGAGCCTCAATCCAAAAAACCTATATGATTTTCTAATGTTAATAGATTTGTATGTGGGTAATCTCGCGTCTTAGAAGATATTAAGGAGAATCAGTCCGAGGCTTAAAATTCCCAACATTCTGACCTGAGTGGTAGACCTTGATGGGAACATTGTGACTCGTGCCTCAGGTCAGCTGCTTTTGCAAATGTCGAGTCAACAACTGGTCAGGCATCTTGTCGGCTGTTCCTGCTTGTGTTCCATATAAAAGGGTGTTTCTTATCAGACCAGAAGTTAGGAACGACAGGCAAATCGTTGCTTTTAACTACGTCTGTTTCAAAAGATTTTACTTTTTGCTCTCTTCTCTTCATGCATAAAGGCCAAACCCAGATATCCCATTGTCTATAAGGGTTTGGACTTTTTGGCCATGCTTGCCTTTGAGATTTCGTCTTCTTCCAAGCAGGGTCTGAAAATTGGAAAATGCTACATGTCTAACAAACGTTTAATGATGACAAAATTCATGAACCCAGATAAATTTTGCTGCATATTCATTTTGCTGTTTAGATTAAAGTTCAATCGAATCGCTACCCGTTTTATTATTTGCTTTACTCTTTGCAAATTTTAAGCCTTTATCGTTGGAATCTAATGTAAGGTTTTAGCTAGAAAAACAAGTTTTCCACAAGCCTTTTCTGCAACTTTGTGTGATGTGTCAATTGACCCCTAAACCGCAACAATACTTACGCTAGTACTTGCTGTTAAAGTAAGAGGCCAACAATTTTGTAAGGCAATCTTCACAAGCTCAACTATATAAGGAACAAGATCATTCACATTGACTCTTGAATTCTTAATGTACCTTTCATCTGTCAAAGTTAGATAACTCGATATGAGGCAATCAGGAGAGACCTAATGCCATGCTTGTGATCATATAAGGTTGAAGAGAGCGCGAAAGGAACTTCGAGGCTGTTAGATCAACCATTTTTACTGACGAGACCATTGGCTCAGGTCGGCTAATGAGCGCCTGTCCCAGTGCTGTCAGGTCCACAATGAAGTGTCAGGCCTGGATGGTAAATGCTATTTCAGTTGTATTTAACACCCACTCAAGTGATTCAATCGGAATATTTGTCTGAAATATCATTAACTGTTCATCTTCCTAGCTGTACATCGCGCTGTTTGCCATAGAGTTGGGTCATCGTCGTGGAGGAAGGAGCCAGCAAAAATAAACGTGAGTTGACTACATTATTTCGTTGACCTTAAATGATTTTTTCATTTATCTTAAAGACATGCAGCCAGCTTTTAAGCCAGCATCGTAAAACACATAGATCCAAAATGTATAAACTCTTAGCTTTGCGATAATTGTTTTCAGTTTTTCCTACAGATATATCTTAATTTATATTTTTAAACTGTTATCAAACGCTCAATTTCCTGATAACTACACTTTTAAAAAGGATAATTCAAAAAATGCAGGATTTCTTACTCGTAGTAGAAAGCCACTTTTAAAGCGTGTATATGCAATCACCCTCTGAATTGCGGTGATCGCAGTCATTTGGAAGTTTTATACATACAAGAATGCTCAAAAGTGTAGAAGTCAACTAATCGAAACCAATGACTCATTTTTTACAAAAAATAGACAAAAGAATCAAGGAATCGTCGTGGAATGCAAGAAAATTTTTTGCCTCTACATCTATAACGCAAATGACTAATAAACTATTCAGACTTACGTAATACGTCCTAAGTTAGTCTCTTCACTCAAAATCTTTTCTGAGATTTTCTATTTTTTATCGAGATTTTCATTGGTTTCCAGACTAATATATTTTGCAGTTTTGCTTTATTTACTTTTGCATGATTGGTCTACAAAGTCAGGGTATACAAAAATATCATGTGTCCTTTATGATTTTCATAACAGATTATCTTGATATTACATAAGTTACCTACTGCCATTTGCTATGCTTCATTTTCCAAATAATGCGGTCTCAAATAGAAAGAACACATCCCAAAATGGCAAAAAACCATTGTATTGTCAACTCGCTTATAAAATCGTGAATTTTAAAAAGCATTCCAGTAGAATGATAGTTTGATGCCTTTGAAAACGTCTCCCAGATCTTTATTTTGATTACCTATTATGTAGTTTGTCTTCCCAATAGCATTAACTCGGCTTTTTATTCATTATTGCTTTTTAAACTGAACGCATTTGATTGGTCTCTTTTGACCAATCAGCAACCACATATCCCTCATGAAGTTTTCTGTCTGAGTAAGATCTCATTACAGTTTGAAAACAGTGTTTACCAATGCTTGTAAAATCTCAAAATCTAACATTTAGAGAGTTTTATGGCAGATGACACATTTAATTAGCTTATTATGCAAAAAATATGCATTTAGCAGAAGTGATTAACTAAAAACGGAGAATTATCATATATTAGCGTGTTTATTTCTATATTTCAACGGCGGAGAGCTGTCGATAGTGCACAATTGTTTACAAGAAACAAATGGCTATCCACGTCTCAACATTTATATATCGTTATGGTTGATTCCATGGCCAACATAGCCACTTAGATCTTCAACTCCAATACATCCTATATAAGAGATACTTTGTTTCTATAGTGACTGATTAGCCATTGGGATGCACTTTAGGGCTACTTCATTGTAATAGAACTCGCCTATGAGATCTAAATGGCGATTTAAGAATTAACAGACGCGTGGCGTACGACTCATCGACTCGAGTTATGCGAATTGCCCTGTTGGGAGGTGACAAGCTAACAGAAAGAAATATTAATGGCTTTAGTATAATATCATGACGTCCTCTTACAAAAGGAAAAACAGTTTTTATAAACAATAGATTTCTTATTTGAAACTGTAAAGAGCATAGCTTGCTTCTCATTTCAGACAGAGATCAAATAATCAAGAAGCACTACCCAGTGTACCGAAAGGTAAGAGAAAACTTTTGTTGTTTTGCTATAAAACTTTCCTTTCATGTTATTTTATAGCATATTTTTTTACTTTCAATCCAGGAAATAAATGCGAGAATATATCCTTAGCGCCTATTCTCATGTGCCTTCAATCCATTCTTTTACCCTTTGTTCAATTTGTTGATATGGTTTACATATTTCTTCTTTTTTCTTTAAATTTAAGATACAAATGGTATGTGATTTTAAGGTTAACAGCTCAGTCAAAGCTCGGTAACAGTAGAAAAGCAAATGATAATAGCTTGCTTGTAAAAAGTTGAGATGAAAAGGGTGAAGCATTCGGAATTATCAACGAAATGGGAGCCTGTCGTGAGAAGCACACTTTCTATTTCATGTTAAAAGCATAGTTACGGGGAGCGCATTTTCTATAAAAAAAACCATTTACATTCTAAAACCTTCCTGAAAAATTTTTTTTGGTATTTATAAAAAAATTTTGAAACAAAGGGCAAACATTTCTTTTTTGTTAATAAGAAAAGGAAACTTGAAGATTCTTACCTTTTGAAATTTGATGGTAAAAAATAACATTCAATGCGAACTGATTGGTTAAAATAGGAAATATAACAACATTCTTTTCATCTGTAAAACATTAAAAAAGGTTTCCTCAGCTGTTTTACTAACTTCCGACTTTCTTAACTGTTCGCTTGCCAAGGTGCTGTATTTTTTACAAAAAGCTTCTTGTAAAAATTATGTATCTCCTTTTATCAGCTCTGAATATGAGGGGGTTTTTAAACAGCTCTGAATATGAGGCAAAAAAGATTAGCGACATATTGTTTAAACTGTGTACTTAGCATTGGCACTGACGAATTCGTGGTCTTGACGGGCAAACGTTTTGAGAAAAAAAATAGTGCAATGGACATATCAAAATCACTCCTTGCTTTGAACATTGTTTTAATTCCATTGTACGAATTTTGAGATATTGGTCAATTATCGTCTGGCTAGGCTATTTGGAAGTTGTTTATACTGACACCAAACTGACTGCTCCACGTGTCTATTTATTACGTCATGCACATTACCTTCTATGGCTAGTAATAATTATTGCCAAGGTGGCTAGAGGATTCTGCCGTCCTCAAGCGTCTGCTGATAGTTACCGAATTTTTTCATGTTCGGCGACAATTTCGTAAAGAAAAGCGCTGACCACAGCGACGGCAAAAACGGTGAATTTTAAGAATTCTCTCGTAGATTATAAAACGTTTAGAGCTGGGTCATACTAGGTGCAAATACAAAGAAAGCTTTGCAACAAGACCACCAAGACAGGCAGGGGTATTCGCGTATTAAAAAGTGATGCAATATTACAGGAACCTGAGAAAAAGAGCCTAAGAAAAAGAGCTTTTGGAGTGGCACAGTGATTAGTTGGTAAATTGACCACGCCCGTTTCATAGAAGAAGTGGCTTGGAAACATCAATTCTTTTTAAAACACTCCGATTTTTAGACCATCATATTTGGAACACCCCAATTTATGTCTGATAACTGATCGCAGAAAATCAAGATAAATAAATAGCAGACCAACAATTTAGGTGAAGCAAATTTGACTGAAAATCGTCCTTAATGATAGTAGAATAGGACTCATCAGAAATACAAATGACATAATTCGACCTGAAAGACGCCATTTGCAAGTTTTTGAACAAATTCTTCGGAGGGCACATTGCACTGTTGCCCTCTGTTTCCTGCTTCTTTGCAATACTTTCGCGTTCAAAATGAACATTCTTGCTGGATAATTCTTACTCTTTAGATAAATTTCCACTCAATGAAAGTTAAATTGTAATTTTGATTAAATACGGTTTCGACAATGTATGTAAAGGCAATGGCAGTGTCTTCCGCTCAAACTTTGTTACTCTCAGAAAATTGAAAGAATTGAAACATGCCACTTGGCGCCCACTGCCCAAGCCGCATTTGAGTTTTTCTTGGACCTTGGGAAATTTCTCTGAAAAAGACGTGCTAAATCTTCTAAGAATAAATAGATTAAAAAGATCCGGGGATGAAAACACCTTCGAATATATACAACGCATATCATAGTTCTTTTCGAGACTAAAACAGGCATTCTGAATGTATTTTTTGACTGTATAAATATATCTATGTAACTATTTTGATCACTGACAGCAGAAGCACTTGAATTTGCAGGCAGCTTATCGAATATTATTTTGTTGACAAATATCTGATTCAGAACGACGCATTTATATAGGCTGAATTCCACCATCAGGTTGTTTTTAATGATATGGGCATGCAGTACTCAGCTTGAGGTACAAGCCCTAAACGTAATGGTGCACAAATGTTAATCAGGTTGAGTTACTGTTCAAGCGGTTTACATGGGGTTTCTCTCCACACCGCAATGAAGACACCTCTAAACTGAAAAGAGAGAAATGAATTATGGTTGCACTCAAACCAGTAGAGAAGAGAACTTTTGTTACCTGCACACTTTTGATATTGCTTTTAGCTTGGCTAGATATATTATATGACCTGTCTATACTTTAATCTTATGTATAATTGTTACGATGAGTAAATTTGATTTAGTTGGTCTCTGAGCTTGGAAGGAAACGTTTGTCGTTTCTCTGATCCTTCCATGTCAGACCATTTATTTTATTTACACCCATGAGCGTAGCGGAGGCTAAACTTTTAGGAGGAATTCGTATGGGTCTTGCCCGAATATTGTTACTTCATTGAGATAAAAACGCCCAAACGAGCCTGTGATTCGACAAATCCTGCCTGATTTTGGAGGCTGCAGCCCTATCAAGATTAAAGTCGTAATAAGAGCATTCAACGGATGTTGGTTGTTTTTGTTCAGCAAGTGAAACCAAGGATAGAGTGGAAATATTCTTGGTGTAAGCGTCTGAAGATGATTCATCAGTTAGAAAAGATCTCGTTAAACGTAAAAGTGTCCACAAATGTTCTCAGATGTCACAAAGTGATCTCAGAAACTGGCCTTTGCTTAAAGGATAAAATGAACTGGAAAGAAGATAAGAAAACAAGCAAAAGACTGGAAATGGAGGAGACTTTGTAGCATTGCTCTGTAACATCTTCAAACATCTGCAAACATCTTCAAACATCTGTGAGCATCTGCGAACACCTGCGAACATCTGCGAACAACTGCGAACATCTTAAAGGCACTAAGAGAGATCCAAACTTGACAATGACCGTGGTGACATGAAAGTAACCTGTTGCTGAAAGGAGAGCCTTTGGTCAGGTGAATCGAACATTTCAGTTAAGTGGACAACCGCCCTACACCTACTGCTTTAGGAAGAAACTTTGCACTTTGCAAGGTTTTTCTTATTGACTGGTAAACGCTTATCTTCAGTTGAGAATGGCTTTGAAAATCTTAAAGAAGAATACAGCTGCAGGATTTTACAAACCAAATATAGAACTAAGGAAGAATAAAGGAAAAGTTGTGCTTATCAAGCCTACTTTTCTGCTAAATTCACAGTTTGTCGACAGAAAGTGATCCCCAAGCTACCAGACAAGGAAGCCTTAAATAATTTTTGAACTGACGAGGTATCAGATCTTGCAAGATTTCGTGTTGTTATTCTTGATATTCATATTTCACTGGAAAATGAGAAATATTATCCAGCAGATCTTAGCTTTGACAACCGTGATCGATCAAAGCTTAAGCTGGCAGAAACCCTTCACATAAATTTTATAAACTTCAAAAGGACCGTTGAATGAATTCATAGTGATAAGAAATTTTTGTCTGAAAAATGGCGAACCTCTTTCCTATGTTTCTTGGCATCTCATCAAAATGTATTAGATCTCTGAGTTTTCTGCCTCTGAATTCTATATTTAAAAGCCAAGTGCTAATTCAGCGGAGTTGTAAGCCTGGACTTGTTTTAGACAAGATTTTATCTTCTCACCGTTTCTGTTTTTCGTCCTCATTAATTTTGATATCTTTAAATTTATTGACCTCAAAAGGTTGGGTTTAATTTTTTTCCAATGAGTAAAAAGAGAAATTATAATTACCTATTTAGGCTAACGAGCTGCATACTTATTTCAAGTTATGCTGTCACAAGACATTTTTAAAGAGAACAGAATAGAAGAAGGCCTTCATACATGCTTTATACATGTTATTACAAGTATTTATTGATGACAATGGTGACAACATTGAAGACATAGTGAAATATCGATGCCTCTGAGGTAAGGTACAAAATTTCGTATGCAGCAAAGAATCACGAGGACATATAAGCAGCACATAGCAAAGCTTGAGCGAGCAAAGGGAGGCAGTTTCTCATCCTCTGGCACTTATCTTCTAGAACAAAACATCATCAAACTAGATTGCACCTACCAATGAAACATTCTGTGATCAAACAAAATGTATGCAAGCCCTTTGTAATAACAGCTGGCACTTATGCCTATGGAGCTTGGATGCTTAAATCTTGCATAAAGTAATAAACAGGACTGGCCGCCGTAATGCTATCTGCCTTTGCAATTGGCTAGAAGGATAAGCTAGCCTACGAAAAAGCATGAACGAAACATTCGCAAGAATTATGGGACATAGTGCAAGGAGGCAGTAGACGTAATTTGATAATCCTATGATTTCTGACGGCATCTTTTACGTATTGCAGAAGTAAAACGATAAAATAAAGAAAAAATGAATGAATACTTAAAAGTGATAGTCCTAATTGGAATTTAATTGATGACCAAACTCAAAAGAATAGTTGTTTTTGAAGATACACGTCGAGGTTTAAGAGTTTACCAATGTTTTTTTTTCGATTATGACATAGAATTATTTGCCATTTGTTAAAAGAGCCTCGTTTGAAGTCTCTTTTAATCTGTAAAACGAAAATAAATTTCCAAGCATAGTGCCGTTGCCAACAAAATTCTGCCTTAAATCTGCCTGTATTGGTGCAAAGATAAGATGGGTGATCTAGAAATAATGAGCAGTTGAGGCATTACATCATTTGTTGAGGAATTGCGTTGTTTGTTTACATTGCTGGATGTATTGGATTTTTGTGCCATTTGATAATACGTTTGGTTTATAT